CCATAGCTTGACAATGGAACACAACGATCATCAGATTGCGGTGAACCAGGTTGATGTGTTAGCTAAGGAAAGAGTAGAAGCTGCAGGAAACTCTGAAAAAAGGCAGCAGCAGACGAAGGCTTCAGAATCAAATGCTGGTGATCAAGTTGAAGATATAAAGCGTGACAGGTAATTGTTTGGTAAGGGGGGGATGGGGGAGTATGGTTAGGGTAGGATGGAGAAGAAAAGAAAAGCTTTTGGTCAAGGGAGCCTAAGTTCAGTGAAAGCCTGGCTGTGTATCTTTGCTTGCTAATTGTTTCTCCACCTAACTGTTTCTAATGCTATGTACATTAACTGCGTAGAAAGTTAGGAATACATGACTGATTTCATTTAAAAGGTAAGTCATGATCATCAGCTCTTCTATAAAATTAGGATGGTGAATTTGGCTATTCACAAACATTTTTTGTAGTCAGACTATGTATCAGGATTTTTTTGTTTCCAAAATGTGTTGGTTGAGAGATGTGAAAGAAAACTGAAGAGAAAGTGATTTCAGGTTGCTTTTAGCAAATAGGATCTAAACTTGCATAAATATTTTTTGTGACTAGTTCATTGGAGAGGCCAGTACAAGAAGCATCCAAGGCCAGTACCTCTGGAGGTTGGGGGTGGGGAGGCTGGAGCTCAGTGCTCTCTCAAGCGACAGCTTCTGTCACATCAGGGTTGTCTTCTGTTATTGAAACAGTAGAAACAACACTTGGTGTTCCTGACCCAGAGGAGATGGCAAGGAAAGTGAGAGCAGAAGAAAAACAAGTAAAGGAGAAAGTGACAGAGGAACAAAATTCTGAACATTCAGAGGAAAGGAAAGGTGATAGCACCACTGAAGGTCAGTAAATTATGGTTTTTAATGTTTGATTTGCATGTTAGACCAAGATTATTCATTAGTTGTAGATGTGGTTTCTGCTTCTGTGATAGGATAATTTCTGGGCTATCTTACTGAACTATTTTATTCTTACTGTCTCTGTTGTGGATATTGGAGCAGTTTCTTAAGAACCTCATACTGGTGCTTTCTGGAGAAATTTTTTGTATGTGAAAACAGTCCCTCAGAAGAACAAGAGATGAAAATCTTGTACAATAAGCATCTTAGATTAGTTTCTGAGAAAATTATATTCATTCGTAACTCTAGAAGAGTTGTTGGACATTATAAAGGAAAAATCAAATTTTAAAAGGCATCCTTTTCAAGGGAAATTAGAAAACCAAAATTACACCTTCAGAAGGGAATTTATTAGGATATTGATAGATTTTCCATAACATAATAAACATCAGAATTTTTTCCCTGAACACATCTACTGCTGTTTTTACTGTGTTAACCTTAACTCCCACAAGTGTTAAACATGTAACTTCTCCCTATAATATCCATATGTTGTTCAGAAAACAGGTGATGAGAATACCCAAACTTATCTGGTATAAGTTGTTGTATTGATCTAACACCACATTCTAGTAACTAATTTACATGAAAATGTGTAGCAGCAAGAGGGGAGAATTAGCAATTAGATCTTGAAAGTTAAAGGGTTAGAGGTTGTCAAGTTAGGCTAGTCAAGTGTTAAGTCATAATTTTGCACACGCAAACATACACTGATGACTAGTAATGTTGCAATTATTTGTTTCATTTTTCCCTTTTACACCAAACAGCTACTAGTGATTCTTTCTTCTCTGGGTTTGGTGTATCAAACCTGACCAGTGTGGTGCAGAGCACTGGAATTGAGCTGGTATCAGGAGGGCTGGGTGCTTTGGAGTTTATTGGCAAAAAGACAATGACTGTTTTGTCTGAGGGTGATCCAGGACTGAGGCAAAAAAGAGAACAAATTGCAGGAAAAGGCCCAAGTCTCTCTCAGGCAAGTTCATAATGAACAATAAGAGTAGGAGCTTATCGTGTGAAAGTCGATGAGGACAAGTGCAAATCAATAATTATTCACAGAAATTGGTAGCAAATAATCTAATTGTATTAGTTTAGATATATTATAAACTTAATACAAGACAGGGTCATTATTCTATTTTGTGAACCACCACACAGTGTTAGGCTACAAACTTGACTTGCTACATCTATCACATAATAGATAGCAAGTGGTGTAGCAAATCAGATGGCAGCATTTGTGATAGAATGCAATTAGATTAATACTGATATGCTATATTATGTTGATATGCTATTTTAAGGGTGGCAACCAAGAATTTGGTAGGGATTGGTTGGAGGAGGTCTTTAATATGGTTTCTGGATACAAGAAGAAAGTCAAATCTACTTTCAACCACCCCTGTCCCACTGTAGCAACCTCCTTCCAGAGACACGTTCTTTGTAGTGACAACTAATAAGCAAGTAAATGCACCTTGGACACAGTTTTTGTTTCCAGTATGAACCATCCTGCAACAATAAAGAAAACAGCAGCTTTTGGCAGTTGTCTTACTCAAGGAAATTGAAATTTTCTTCTGTTAGGTTTTAAGAGAGGCCAGAGAAGCATCTGAACAAAAAGCTACAGTTGAAGCTGAACAAACCACACCCATGGTAGACTTATGCGGCGAGTTTGACAAATTCCAAGGACTTGCTCACTTAGAAGCACTGGAGATGCTTTCACGTGACAGTGAGGCCAAGGTGAGCAACAGAAAGACTTAGTTATTGACATTAGGCTCTTAATTCACAAAACAGTCCCTGTTAGATCCTCCTTCCCCCTTGGTAAATTGTTTTGCACCTTGCAATGTGCAAGCTACAACTGCATCTGTTTGCACCTTGCAATGTGCCAGCTACAACTGCATCTAATGCCTGCATCAGCAGTGTTCTCCTTTTCAGGCTGTAACCATTACAACTTACCACTTGTATTCCCTTTTTTGCCGCCTAAAACTGCCTGAAATTCTTAAAAATTCAACGGGTAAATGGTTTTTTGAACGGTTTTAAAATTTCTTTTACTTGTCACGCTTAGATTAAGGGAGAACACTGCACCACATGCAATTTCGATTTCCCTAAGCTACAGCATTGCTTGAAGCAATTTCCCCCCACCCTCCTCTCATACAATTCAAAGTTTGCGCCCCATAATAACATGATTGATTATAATTCCCTCCAATCATGGAAAACACCCAGAAAATGTCTGTCCGGTATGTTCAAGTTTATGAATTATAGATACAAGTATATTAGTTACAAATTGTTTGCAGTAAGTGTTTAGCTCATTTAAGCGTGTGTCGACCTTTTGCCTCCAGCTTGAATCCTGTATCATTGATTTAACGGAAGACGAGCTTCACATGCTGAAGCCTTTGTTACGAGCCGTGGAGGAAGTGTTTCACATCGACGACGACAACGACGCTGATGTCGAAGGGGCTGAAGACTTTAAATCGGTCGTGTTGGACAATGTCAAGTCGCTAAACCTGCCGTTTACTGCGGACAAGATCATTTATTCACAGGAAAAGACAAGAGAATGGATTGCTTCTTGTGTTAAAGAACAGGACGATTCTCCGGGGAGCAAAGACGGAGTTGAAATTTATAACACAGCCGTTTCAAGCTTGGCGGAGCTCACGGCTCGTACCGTGGAATCATTTCACAAGTTTACAGAACTGTTACTCCATCAAGCTGAGCAGGCTACGGAAACCTCGTCTCTTGTGCGTGCGCAATGCGTGCGTAAATTGACAGACGCTGTTTTAGAGGAGATTTCTATTTTGGCGACGCATTTCGCAGGTTGTTTGAACACCGCTGCCGACGACTCAGAAAACCCTGACTCAGTCAGCTCTTTAATAACAACATTGTATCTTGATTCCTCGACAAGTGCAGACTATTTGAGAAACTCTTTGAAACTTTTGCGGCCCGTTTTACAGCTTTCCTCCCTCAATGAGCAAAACCCTCCAAAAGGTTGAAGCGGACCCACAAGTATATTTGCAGAGAGTTCTTTTCTTGTCAAGTGTACTAGTTGATCATTCGCAATATAGGTAATTTGGTCACTTATACAAATAATTTAATCTTCAAATCGTTGCATATGTTCAGATTAAAGTTATTACATCGTAAATTTAGGAAATTCTGTTTGTGTAATAAATCTTCTTGTACTGGTGCGCAGAAGATTGTCACCATTCGATTCTTAAATATCCCGAATAAAGTCACTAAATTTGGGCGCTAGTATGAACGATGAGACACCTTACTAATCCTTTACACCCTAACATCAGTATTCATTTTCTCCATACTGTTCTCTATACATTTCCTGATGTACTGACAAGGAGAATTTGTTTAACAATCAAGAGGTTCTTCAGTTGATTATCATTTCCTTTATTCTCTTGACCTTAATGTTTGATTCAGAGAGAAATTAAAAATTCGATGCTAGTCACTCAGGGATTAAAGGATTAAAGAAAATTTTGCACGTTTGTAAATCCTTCCGGAAACCCCTGCTCAGGAGAGTGTTTAAAACGTGGAGTTCATTCCTTTGTGGGATTTAATTTATATAGACGTGAGCGCGAGATGCATTAGACACCCGGTTAAGAATTTCCGTTGATCTGTTATCTCCTCTAATGCTCCGTTCCTTATTATCTATTCTTGTGTGAGTGTCCTGGTCTGCGTGCATTTTAGCTTTACCGGCAGAGCGTGAACGGCGCTTTGGTCTAGGAGATGCCGCTGATCTCTTACAATAATTGTAAGGCATGGTTAACCGGGGCAATTTTAAATTAAGTGTCGAAAGTAATCCGTGATTGCGTTATTTTCGCTTTACTTGGCTCTGTGATTGATCCAAAAAACTCGCCCCACTCTCTCAACTAATCAGATGCAAAATTAAGACCAATCACCACTTTGTCGCCGCGTTTTCCCGCGCTTAACGCAGTTTGGTCGGTTCAACTTAATGGGCCACATATGGTGATCAATTTCGTTTTGGCTCTACCACACTTAATCGAAAAGCATTCCAATACCAATGCAATCGAGTGTTATCTTGGACATTCAACTGAACATTGCTCAAGACAAGCTCTACAAAACAATAAACAGAGTCAGTAGTAAAGTTCAAAACGTTTTATTCTTCATTCACGTGATCAGAGTACATTTAAGGAAACCATCACAACCACACGTTCGCAAGTCCTCATAATTGGTGCCTGAGTAGCAGGTCCTGCAGGAAACAAGTAAAATGGGGTACAAGGAAGAAAATCACAAGCAATTCTTCCATAAACGCGTCTGGGTATCAGGTGCCTTGTTCCTTTAATGAGCCTGCTACTCATGCGAGAGCGAAAGTTTTCAGTTTTACCTACTTCACAATACAAAAATTATCGTAAAAACAGCGGTCGGGCTTTCAGTTCCACTTGAAAATAATCCTAATGAGGAAATTCTACACGCACAACTCGTCTAATGTTGAGTAATGAGAAATAATCCATGAAAAATTTCAAGTCAGGTCGATAGCCTGCTATTAGTAACATAATGAGAAATAAGCATAACAAAATCAACAGCAGCAAGTTCTAAGAAATTCTTTATTTCCACAGCTTGTAGGCATTGTACATCAGGTAGGCAGTAATACTGCAAGTTACCACACCTCAAGAAGATTATCTTTATTCTTGAGTTAGCTAAATTGAACTCCATTCAAACGGCCTGTTTCTTCAAAATTCAGTCCGAATTATCTTTGATAAAGAGTATCTGATGGAGCTCCGGACGCTTCAATGTTACGTTAGGCTTCCATCGCGCGCAAGAACGCCGATAAGGTGACATAATCATCATGAATAAAAAAATTATCGGAACGTGGGGAAATGACAGTGGCAACCAAAACTGCCGAGGGGGTTTACCTCTTCAAGAAGCATGCGCACAGAACAAGTCTCTAATAACTTTCGCGCTTTTCACGCCAAGGAAACAACTGAAATTACAATCAACAGCTGGGATTCCAAGCAGGGGACAAAGGAGGGAATGATTTTGAACAATTTTTCTTTCTTTCTTTTTTATGTAATTTGGCAGTTTGAAAATGCTAACAAAAGACGGACCGACCATCAAGGAACTGCCCTGAATTAGAGTGACTATGTTTCATCACCCTTCGTTTCATTTTCTTTATTTTCATTAACATTACTAGACAAACTAACCACGCCCTTTCCTTCACATGTCGAAGACTCCGCATCTGATTTATCAGTCTCTCCTTTTTGAGGGTTGCTTTCGGACGCCTCTTTATTCTGAGGTATTTTTGGTTCCCTATCACGACCTCCCGCGTGTTCCACTTCTGCCTTTGCTTCACCGTTTTGCGGAGATTTTTGCTCTGTCTTTGCTCCATCTTTTGTCGGCGATTTTTCTTCCAAAGAAGTGTTAACGTTTTCATCGTCTTTCTCCTGCTCGTTTTCGTCCTCTTCTGTTTGAATTTGGGCCTAGACGTGACACGGTGGTATGAAAAGGCAAAACGTACAATGATTGTACCAAAGACAAAGTAAAAGGGGAGAAGAAAGAAATGCGCAAGGAATTCGTTAGTTGTTCTAGATTCCTGCTGGTTTCTGGAGACTTGTACTGCAACACCTGCATACCATACAGTCTCTCTCCAGTCCGGCAAACGGATACATGTAAAACACATGTAAGAATTAGGAACATGTTTCAATATCATATTTGTTATTTTTATTCAATAAATACAATGATAATGACAAAGAATTACAACAAGGAGGACGAAAAAACAGAATATCTCAACTAGATAGGAACCCCACAGCAGCTACAAGCAGATCATCTTTCCCAACTCAGTCAGCCGGGTAACGCATACAACAACAACAACACCAACAACAACAACACCAACAACAACAAGGGGCATTGCGCGAGAACTTAGCACAAAGAAGGCACCGATTTTTGTTTTGTTTTTGGTTTATCTTTTTAATTTTTTCTTTTCTTTTATCCTTCGCTTTCTTGCGCAATGGTCTGAGAAAAAGAGAACTGCTTGAAGTCAAGATTACAAGGAAATCATATGCTCCAAAAGTAAACAACGATGTCTTAAAATTGATTAAAATAACACAAAATATAACGCAAGAACTCAAACAAAAGACATTTCAGCCAATCTCTTTAACCACATAGATTGAAGAGCCATGACTTACAAATGTGTTTAGGGCAACAGCTTTCTGCACATGAAAAAATAAACATACCTCTTTGACGTCTTGATAGCACAAATAATGGTACGTCTGCAACCCAATTTTAACTCAGCATAAAAACATTGAACAAACCTCTAAAGCGAAACAGCTAGTTAAGGAAAAAGAAAACAAAACAACGGAAAAAATAGTAACTCGCCTTGCCATCAATGCGAACGGCAGACTTATAATGCCACTCTTCATTAGTCTCTTCCCAGAATTGCTCAAATTTCTCGCAACAGATGTCGCATTCCTAGGAAACAAATAAGGTGTTGGTCAAAACCGCTACTCAACTAAATAAAGGGGATAAGTCTGAAAAGACACAAGTTTCCAAAGTAAAAATAAAAAAACGTGGAAATGTTTTGTTTGCCTCGTATATTGAGGGTATACCACTAAACTAAAGCCTAAATTGCAGCTCTCAGAACATTGATTGTGGTGAGATATCACCTGAACCATTACAGTACAAAGACAAAAAGTTCCCAAAGTTGCTGGGGTGGTAAACCAAGTCTTAAATTGGTGGGGCCATGATGTTATGTCTTCGATGTGCAGATCTTTCATTTACCTTAAGGCTGTGAAAATTTCATAAAAAATGAATAAATATTAAACATGTACTAGCATCCTGTGCCAGCTCTCGGGCTGGAAAGGGTTAAGAAACTGTGGGGCTGCTTCGGTGGAGGGTTTTACAAGATACTTTTGTTTTGTGAAATGAGTTGAAAATACAGCCCTTTCCCTCTAACGAAGGGCTAACGGTCGAAACGTCAGCTTAAGAAACTCTTTACGGTGGACAGTTTACATTGTCAACTCCGTTGGTGAAAACCAAGTTATTTTGTTCACCAACTGGTTCTTCGGTAACAAGAACTAACAGAGCACCCTTACCGCTTCAGCTTCTGTGTCACCAGCAAGCACAGGACAGCTACCATCTGCAAACTCCTTTTCTGTTTCCTTCAACGGATCTGGAGAGTCTACAGCCCCCTTGCTGATATCAAAGAACGAACTCTTTGCTGTAGGAAAAAAAAATGCGACACTGCACAATAGAACATGTTTCACGCACTCATAACGACTTGTTATCTTCATACGAAGTCGTTCTTCAAAATCAGATTATATGCGTAAGGCATACACCAGCTGCCTCGGATATACAGACAATATTTATCTGTGGCATACCTAGTTCGTTGTGTTTCATCTGTTTTGCCGGACACGCTATCCATAAAAAGTCGCTGTTTTATTCGAATATTCGGGTTTTTTAATTATTTCATTTGTGCGTATGTATGTGTGTTTGTTTTTTCTTTTTTTCACTTTTTTCTTCCCATCTGGAAGAAAAAGGAGTACAGAAAAATTTAAGGGAATCCCCGAAAAAAAAAAAATTACTGAACATTGTCGATGGAGACGCCAAAACGCTACCTCTTTCGTCTGGATCCGATATCTCTTCGTAATTAAGCCAGTCCTTAACAACAAAGTACCACTGCCTGTGTGCCACTCTCCTGCCGTCCTTCTCTCGGCGGTTTTTACGGAAATGCCAATCCAAGTGCTCACGGTAGATCTTTGCAGCTTCACCAGGAAACCGCAGCCCACAAGATGAACATTGCGTGCCATCATAAAGACTGGCGATAACACTATCGTGACGCCTGCGCAGTGATAAAAAATACAGAGAGACAGTGTGACATTGAAACTGAGGCAAATTTCGTGTGAAAGTAAATCAAGATTACTTCGGTTTTGCTTCACTTCGTTCTGGGATTGGTCTTAAAATAAAATAAAAAAAAAGAGCAATCGAATTGACCGATCAGATGCAACTTGAAACAACCGCGAGCGACTTGGTTACTTGCACTCGTAGAGTTTTTGTTTTATTTAGGGTTTTTTATTAGCTCCTTCAGACTTTTTCCGTTCTGATAAACCTGGTTTTGATTTGACGAAACTCATTAAAGGGCGCAAAAATAGTTTGCCTGCAGGTGATCAGTTGTAATACCCAAGACGATAAGCTTACTTTTTGAGGTCCTCGGGAACAAGTTTTATCGGTGGAATGACTGGTTTCTCCACTTTTGGAGGTTGCGTCTGTTCTGCAGTTATGGCTGGTAGTGAGAGGCCGGGAAGAGAAACCGGTGGTCCAGGGAGGGGTCGTGGTTTTTGTATCTCAGCCTGAGGGGGAGCTGGTAAGGCGACATGCTGAGGGGGTTCACTAACAGGTTCAGGCATCACCTTGATTATTCCGAAATCCATCAGTTTTCGGAAGAGATCGTCAACAGACCTCTTCTCCATCATGGTGTTGGGAGTGATCGGTACTTCTTGGCCTGCAAAAGGGAAATAGTATATGTATATATATTTAACGAATAGATTCCAAGTTGCCGTGCGTGATCTGTGATCTATTACTGAACAGACGCACGGCAACTTGGAATCTATTTGTTTTATATAATAAAGAATTAATAAAGTTTTAGTGTTGACGTCACCTATACGTCTGTCCTCCAATAGATCATAAGTGAGAACCAATCAGAATGCGCGCATAACTAAGCTTATTATATAAATATATATATATATATATATGTATATATATATATATGTATATATATATGTATATATATGTATATATGTATACGTGACTGATTAATATTTCCCATCAATAATCAAGAATGAACCACATCTAAAACGTTCTGCTTGAAAAATTGACATTGTTCCACGTATCTCTCCTCAAGGAAGATTTTTTCCACATGCAGCCAAAGCACAATATTTCAATGATTAGATCTTTACACCTTTATTGTAATATTCCCAAACTTTTCTCTCTATATTTTGAAGGGTTACGACAAGGAGAAATTGTTCGACAACCAGGAGCTTCTCAAATTGGTGATCATTTCCATAATTTTCATGACCTTTAAAATTGATTCAAAGGTGATACTGTACGGAAAAATGTGAAGCCAGTCACTTTCAGGAGTTAAAGATTTAAAGTGAACTTACCTTTTTCCTGCCTTGGTGGTGTGCTGGGTGTTACTACGGACCCTGGGCTGTTTTCATGACTGCCTGGATGTCGTGCAATCTCCTCCACATGCCTCCCATGTGGAAACTGAGGGTTCAACCCACCATCAACCCTTGGACTATTGTCAAATGGTCTGTCCGTTCTTATGGAAGGACCACCCACTGGCAATGGTCTACCAAGTGAGGGGCGATCCACTTCTGTGTGCGGTCCTCTGTAATCCTCATTGAATCTCCTCATTTCAGGTTCGTTAGCTTCAAATCTGGGGTCATCAACCCTCATCATGTGGCCTGGTTCCATGGCAGCAGGACCTCTGTTTTGTATTCTGAGATGCTCTGGAGGACCATCATATCTTGGTCTTCCAGGACCTATTTCAGGTGGAGTTCCTGGCCTATCCAATGGACCCCCTGAAAGAAAAAATGTACAGGTTCAGAAATAAAACTTTGATGGAATCGTATGGCTCCCTTTGATTCAAAACTGGTCCTTTTGTGGGCAAGCCTGAGAAAATACAAACTAAGGACACTGAACAAGTGTATTCATTTCCTTTTTGACAAATTTTGTTACATATCAAGTAGCCTTCTCTCCCGTCGTATAAGTACTGAATCACCGAAAAAAAAACAAAAAACTATATGGGATCAATATCCACCTGGTCTGAATGGAGGTTCCTCTAATCTTGAGGACATCATATGTCTAGGTAAGTATTCAGAATTTGGTGGAGGCCTGCTCTCTCGTGACAGAAGCATTGAATCAGGATGCCTTTGAAGCTCATACAATTGGTGAAGTTTATCCACTAAATCTTCATGTTGCTCCACAGTCAAATCTCCTGCTTGAAGACGACTTTCAGCCTAGGTGAAAAAAATATAATGGTGCTTAAAATACATTTTTAAGACCACAGCATATAAAGATGAAAATCTATGGAACACTTCTTGGAATAGATGGAGAACCTTAGCAACGACCTTCACTGACCTGCCTCATGATTTCATTTTGATGATCCAACATGAGCTCACGTGGAATTTCAAACCCTGGAGTCCATTCTCCAGGATGTTGTTGCCTAGGTGGAGTACGAGGTCTAAATTCTCTCCGCATTCCTGGACCTTGAGGCCCAAAGTTATGATCCCGAGGTAGAGGATGTTCAGCATCCATAGGATGTGGGTGAATATCCATAGGTTCTCCAAGGAAACCTTCATGGAAAACAGGTGGTGGTGTCATTCTTCCTGTATTGGGGAGTGCCCCCTTTCTGTTCCGAAGTTCAGTTATCTCTACATCTGAGAGAAGAGGTCTTGGTTTCTTTGATAGAGGTTCTCCCAGATGTCTCTCTCTTGGGTCATCATGAAAAGGAACTGGAGGATGGCCACGCACTTCCTCTCTAAATTGAAAGTCTGGATCTTGTTGCATTTCATGACTGCTTTGATGTGGTTTAAAGTGTTCAACATTTTCATATTGTTCTCTTTCATATCCATTTCCCCTTGGTCTCTCTTCACGTATTCCTGGACTTCCCTTCCGAACAAATTCCTCACGACCATAGAGTGGACTTTTGCTACCCCTGAAATCTTTATCTACGTATCTGTCTCTCCTGGATGGCCCCTCAGGGCCACGTTTTCCAAGCCGTGATCTTTCATCCACATTTGGTATTTCTGCCGCACTCCTCCTCCAGTTTTCCTGATTCATTAAATGCTCTTTCTGTGGCAAAAAATTTTTATTCCTTTTCCTAAAATCATCCCGAAAAGGATGATTCATTTCATCGTGTCTCCCAGCAGTTAGTGTATGTCGGGAGTCTCTGTCTGGCACTCTGTTAATTCTACGCTCAGTTTTTTCATGATCCATTTCTCTGCCCCTTTTTCCTGGTTCATGGCCACGACCTCTTCCCCTCTCACCTTTTCCTCTTTCTCTCTGCCTTTCAACAGACCTTCTTCTTCCCCTTCGAGCTTTCCCTCTGATATCTTGAATATCTTCTGGCTCATCTTTGTGGTTTTCATGATTTGGTGAGTGGCTTGACCAGTCACCAGAATTTCGCCTTTTGTGTGTACTCTTAGGCTTTGATGGTTTTTGCAAGTCACCATACTTTGGACTGCCTGTAACTTCCCTTTCAAGATGAGTTCCTGAAGGAACTCTATTTGAGCCTTCTGATGAATTGGCTGCCACAGACATATGCTGAACACTTTTTATCTTGGGGATTGGGACAGTTTTCAAATCTTGTTGTGAAGAATCACCAAAATGTTTTGGCTCTGGAATATGATCAGGTTCAGGCTCAATTTGGCGGATGCGTGGATCACGGCTACTAAGTGTCTCTTGCATTTTCTCTGTAGTCTCTGCTTTCGTTGACACTGGTTCACTTAGTGTAGAATTGGGAGGCTGTTGATAGATAAACTAAAATTTTGTCCTCAAAATTCTAGCAAATTATGCTTCAGCCAACATTAAAAATAAAAGAATATAATGGCTTTGGCTGTTCTTAAACTTTATGCTTAACCCTTTAACCCTTAAGAAAAACTAGCATCGAATATCTACATACTTTAACAAACATTAAATTTAAGGTTATGAATCTACAGCAAATAAACACCCACTCGAGAAGCTCTTGAATGTTCAAAAAACTCTCCTGGTCGGTACCATTGGAAATGCAAAGAGAACAGTAAGTCGAACCTGCATTCTGATATCAGGCTGTTAAGGGTTAAGAGCACTATCACCATGCAAAAGTAATGCTGAACTACTTCCATGAGGAGTAAACCCCAGAAGCTTAGAGAAAGATCTTCCCTAAACATCAATGTAAAGGGGACAGGATAAACATACCTTTTTTCAACAACAAAAAATCCCCTCTCATTACAATCTAAATTTCTGAACAACTCACATAATTAAAAAAAGTACTCACCCCATTTAAAAGTACTGAGTCTTTTGTACTTTCTGGCTTCAATCGCAAGTGGAGAATTTGCTGCTGTTGTTGTTGGAGAAGGAGCTTTCGTTCCTGTTGTTGCTTTTTGAGAAGAAGATCTCTTTTCATCTGGTGCTCCTGAATCTCAAGTTCTGTCAGTTTAAGCTGTTCTTCTTGCAGTCTCTGTAACTCAAGCAAGCGCTGCTGGTGGTCAACAACAACCTTATGCTCCTGGGGTGTAGCTATGCTGCCAGTTAAAACTGCACCAGTTTTTTCAGCCTGTGTTGTTTGAGAAAAAAGGTTTGAATACTGATGCAGATTCATGTTAAAGTACTGCTAGTCATCTTCACTTTTAGGAAACATGTTCTACTATACTTAACACTCTGACAAGCTCCTAAAAGCTTATTATGAATTTTCAGAGCTTCCAGAAAGGAATGAGGAGAAACAGCAGACAATTGTGAATGTGTGTCTGTGTTAGGAAGGGGGGCTCAAAACTCAATGAGAGCCTCAATGTTAGTTGACTTCTCATCTGAACTCATGCTACACTCCAAGATTGTTCCTTTCCTTAGTTTGAAAACCCTGTTACATGTAAGTATCTAGCAGCAGGAAAAATATATTCCTACCTGAAACACTACCAAAGCCAACTAAAAAGACAATAGTTCAATAACACTACAACTAGTTTACCTTGTGTTTTTATTTTGGAGTTTCAATTCAGGGAAAGGGGAAGAGGTTTGGAGGGGGGCTCATTAGAAACCTGAAGCTCTGGACTGAGGGCTTAACAAAGCCTCTATGTCATAACAGTGGCCCTCAATTCCAAACTAATTGTCCCTCTTTCCTTTTTTTTTCTTTACACAGTACCAATGAATTGACTTAAAAGCTAGAGTACCTTTGGCAGAAACTTTGGGTTAATATGTATAGAGGGACTTGGTGGAGGAGCAGGAGAAATGGGCCATCCTGGGTCATGCTTATTCACGGCAACATCCAAGTCATGCAACATCTTCGCTGGAAAATACTGCTGCCAAGTATGCCGCAACTTGTACAGATCCCGACGAGTCTTCTCATCTGCCTGAAAAATAATTATTACATAAAAATGAAGAATACATTTTTAAGAAAAGAAAGGTAATCACAGTAACCTACACATGAAAAGAATTTGTAAAAAAACAATAATTGAAAGAAACTCAGGTTTGCAAAGGAATCAAACCAATAACTGTCCTGCCTTACACCTATATTACAGCACTCAAGCTAGCCAATCAGCTGAGTTACAGAGCATGCCATTACAGTATTGGAGTTTGTAACACATAAATTACCTTTTCAAATACACAGGTAAAACTATTTTCCATAATATCTGCAACAAGCTTCAGGTACCCTCCTCCAACATTCTTCACGATGGAATCAAGCAAATAAAGTGAAGGTAGTTTGAATTGTTGTGATACCTATGACAAGAAATATGGGATAAGAGTATAAGGAAGTATAAGGAACAACGTTCTACTACCTAATGTTTTTTCACCGATTATCAAACCCTGGAAAAAAATAAGCAAAAAGAATTTGTAAAAACAATAATTGAAAGAAAATCAGGTTTGAAAATGAATCAAACTAATGAAATAAGAGAAAAAAGTATAAGGAAGTATAAGGAACAATGTTCTACTACCTAATGTTTTACTAACAATTATGAAACACTGGAAAAAATAAGCACTAAGAAATTATCTGACAGATGACACAAAAATCAGAAAAGTTTGTACTTTTACTTGTACTCTGGTCTCCATTAGCTATGCAAAAGTGTATATTTAAAAAGTAAATCTTTTCCACACAAAAAAATCTGCAATATTCACAAAATAAATTTAATACAATATTTGTTTAGAAGTGGAGTATACATTAACACCTGCTTGAACAAATTCTTGGTGGAAATAATCATGCATAATTGTTTAAATTAAATCTAAAAAAAAAAAAACAAAAAAAACCTTTGTTATTCCTACCATGTTATTTAACCTTCATTTCACTACCCTATATTTAAACTTCTTTCCTTTAAGGGTGTAAAATAACACCATATTACAACATTTCATAGTTTAAACTTATAATTGTATGAAAATTTTTGACACCATGTACATGTTAAGTATGAGATTAAGTGAGCTACTTCCAAAACCTTCAAAAGAGGTGTAACATTTTTCTGTAGAAAAATCTTATTTAAAACCTTTTATTACATATTGCCATATTTATTCAAATAAGTGCCCTGGGCATTCCTTAAATTTATCAACCTAAAGAGTAGGCACTTATTTGGAGAAGGTACTTGTTTGAGGTGGGTGCTTATTTCATAGTTGGCTCTTTTTAACTTTTCTTTCCTACAGTGTGGGTGCCTAGTCTCAAAAACATGTTAAACATAAATACACCTCCACTACTATTGCACTGTTTGTTATTTCCCTCTGTTAATAATTCTTGGTCCCTTACAGTCCTCTTTATACAACATTGTAGAGTAAAGATGAATTAAATACTTTTTTCTATGCATTCTTAGTCCCTACGATGATATCTAGACTAGACTGAGGATAAGCATTCACACTGTGCACAATAATACTTCTATGGTACTATAATTTTCAAAATAGTTTCCCCAAAAATGTTTATGTAACCTTATCATTGAAAAATTAAAGTATGCTACCATGGTGGCAAAAGAACATGAGAAATGTCACTTCCAATATCTAAAAAGCTTGCCTACAGAAATAAATACAAACACCTTGAACTTTCTACATTTGTGCTCTGGTAGCTGTGAATTTTGGTGTGATTTAATAGGGATACACACTGAAGTTTGTCAACACAGTAACAAGTACTTGACTTAAAAGGCTGGAGACCCATGCCAGGTTTTGCAGCCCACATTCCCCATCCTAATGGTAAAATGGCAAAACCGCAAGCCATCTTTCAGTAAAATTCCTTGCTCCAGCATGTATCCAAGAAATTATTGTTGCCAACCAAGAATCAAGGACTGCATTGCATACATTGATTCTAAAGACCCTAAGAGCTTGCAGGCATGAAGTATCAGTATAAACTCACTTTAGGTCTATATGTAAATCTAAGAATCTAAGTTTGTATGCAAAAATTATTTTGCAGTCAGTCGGCGGGCTAATCACTTAAACTAGCGATAAACTAATATTACTATAAACGAAAACAAAGTATTCTATCATATTCAGCTAAAAATAAAAATACCATTAGCGTAAATACATCAATAGCTTTTCCATGTTTTAAGGCACAAAAATATTGCTTTCGATAACCGGAGAGCTTTTGTTTCATTAAGAAGCTGGTAGAAGAAATAAAAGTATAAGCACACACCTGACAAATGCGTTTTTCAATAAGCTTTGTTATGTTCTCGGCATATTGACTGTTTTCTTCGGCAAGCATCGTGAGCACGTTAATTAGTGGTTTAGAATTAAAAGTCAAGTCTTCAAGCGATGAGGCATATTCCTCACAAATACCTTCGTCCCCAGTATCCATCAGGGTGATAAAAAGGGACGAAGAAAAGATGTGTAAAGTAAAAAAAATTAACGCATCTTAACGGAAAAAGTTGAAGGCGAAATTCAAGATGGCGGCGACTGGAACAATCTCGTTTTCATTCACATGAGTATGCTTTGAAGCATTATGGGAACAGAATAGTCCTCAGTCTCTCTGCGGACGAAATACCACAATGGTTAGTGTTTCCGTTACGTTTCTGTTTGCAGTGTATTTTTTAAAAGTAAGAGACACGCACAAATAGGATAGGAAAATGAATAGGCACGTCTGCTGCAGACTTAACGTTGTATGACTTGTTTTATCACCATATAACAAACAGATACAAATTCTACAGTACAGAATTTTGTATATATGCAAGACTTCCAATACGCAGCCTAACATACGAAACTGACCAATATTTCCATGATTTACAATTTTCCGAGAAGTTACTTTCAACTTCACGTATACATGTACCACTTATTGTACAGAGTTATCAATATTTTCCATGCGATACCGGTGCAGCGCTCTCAGAGGTCATGGGTGCAAATCCCGTACAGGCCTGAATTTTTTTCAGGCCTTATTTTCACTACTGCTCAAGTAGTTTTCCTTACTGCCGGAAGATCGCTTTCATATTCACGTCTTTATCCGCAGTTCAAATATATGACTTTCATATATCCACAGTCGTTTATTCACCACTTCACAGGTTTATTTGGCTTGTTAGTTCAGTTGGTAGAGCGCTGCACCGGTATCGCAGGGGTCATGGGTTCAAATCCAGTACAGACCTGAATTTTTTTTAAGGCCTTATTTTCACTACTGCTCAAGTAGTGTTCCTTACTGCGAAGATTGCTTTCATATTCACAACTACTTTCCATTAGAGCTTTGTTATAAATATACTACATTTACGTAACAATAAAACATTTTATCCTAATAAAGAATTTACATTTCAATATTTACCCTGCTCTATTACGTGGCGTATTAAATGCTATCTACAATTATTCTCATTGCTCATCGTTATTCGTCGTTTATTTTTAAATTAAAACATTGTTTGAAATATCAACGCTTATTATCACAAGGTAAGGTTACCGAGATACAAATTAGACTGAGTTATATGAAGTAGCAAATTGAAAATTCCTGTAGCCAAAAACATAAGTAGAAACCTCAGT